TCAACTTGAAGTACTTTTCACACCTGTATACAACATTTCTTCTTGGTTGTCGCGCCCGCCGCCACGGATTGTTCTATTTAACTATTTCTTATTTCAATAAAAATAGTTCTATTAATCAAATTAAAATTCCAATTAACAATCTCAACGGATCTCTTTACCAACCAGAACCGCGGTAACACACTCACGTCCTAACTATAACACCGCTCGCGCCTAAATCGTGTATTAGAGTTGGTGTGTTGATTAACCCTCGGCGCGCATGCGCATCGAGGGTTACGGTAGTTGTCCCGTAATTAAGTGTGTCTGTCAGTCTGTCTGTCTGTTACCACGTTTTCTGCCACCGCGCGCACGAAATCAGGTAAATAACGATATGATCGGGTTCAGTGCTACACTGGGTTGATTTTAAAAAAGGCGATTTTCGTAAAACTACTGTGTTTTTAAGTATGGCGTGAAAACCAAGTGAACAAGCCAATATGTAAATTAGCACAGGCTTACCTCGACCGCGTCCGTTCGCTCTGTGTGTCTTGAAGGCACAACAAGTCACAACGAAGGGCATGTATCGACTCATGCATGCTATTTACTACTGTAGCTAGCCCGTGCCAGACTCTCCGCGAGCTACTAGCGGGATACCGCGAGTAAAGGCATAAAAAACCCAGCCCATCAATTAGTGGTACCGCACATGCGCAGTTCGCCGAGGGTTTGCACTTTAGTGCTTTTGATTTTGCTGGTGCCTCTGGAGAATGTCACGGCTCTACGTCGACGGCGGGAAGATAGACGAAGAATCGATGGAAGACGTGCCCAACTCAGGTCAGCGGTTCGGGGGACGCACACTCTGCGCAACCTAGCTTTTGCTTTACTGGGTGTCACGTGACGTTGACCCTTGAGATGCTCGCTCCTCTCTCGATCCATCCCAGAGTTGTACAGTAACGAGCAGCAGCCTCTGTTGGCGGGAGACACCGTCCAGAAGTCGGGGTTTGGGGCAGGCGGACCCAAGGAAGGATGCACCTCTTACAAGAGACAAGGAGCCAAGTAAACCTCCACCATACGTGTTGTTCTGGAAACATTACTTTCTCACACTGTCTCTGTTCCACAGTGAGATTGCCACGTTCTTCAACTTTGCCAAGGCCAGTATAGGCTCAGGGTCGTTTGCCCTGCCGTGGGGGATACTGCAAGTTGGAGTGTTGGTGGGAGGTCTGGGTATGATCCTTCTTGGTCTAGCAAGGTTAGGACAATACACACATCCTTCAATTCACTGGGGGTTAGTTGTGGAGGGAACGTTAAATTGTAATATCGAACACGGTATAGCAAACCAGCATGTATGTACATTGGTAAACTGATCAGTGTTTGTACGAGGAGTTCAGTATTGGTTTTGTGGCTGTTTAAATCATTGATAGTATCATCATGTACTAGTTGTAGATCCATTATGAGAGTGCTCAGTAAGTACACGTCTTTTTTCTCTTGGCATCACATGGTCTATTGTTACATGCATGTACGCTGTAGTTGATATGTTTGTTGTGCCTTTGCCTCGTAGTTTTCACATACATCCATATAGTGACGTGACGTTAAGATGACTATATTTGGCAGTATTTATATATGTATAATACTAATTCGTCTCTCCAGCAAATTGTCAAAATAATGTTTCATCTCTGTTTCCTTTTCCTCTCTCTCTCTCCTCACCCCAGTGTGTACACCATGCAGCTCATGTTGGAGTGCAAGCACTACGTGTGTGCCAGACTCCCGTCCAGAGAGAAGAGGAAATCTCTCAACTACACCGAGCTGGGCAGACAGGCCCTGGGCGGGTTTGGGAAATGGGCCGTCGATATTTCAGTGCTGGGCTGCAACCTCGGTGTCTGTGCGGGATACATGATATTTATTGCTGGCAATCTTCTTGTAAGTTGTACAAAACCTCCAAACTTTGTGGTGCTTGCAAAGTTGCCCGGTGTCTAATGGCCTTAAAAGCAAAACTTTACTTTCCACCAAATGGGAAAATTTCACAGAGAAAAACTACAGTTTGGGAGCAAAATAACAACTGGCTGCTAGTGTATGTAATGGGATTTTCCAAAAGAAATCATTGCCAAGGGGTGTAAGTCACGAAATCTGCTTTATCGTTTGAGTCTTACCAGTTGACATCAGTTGTCTTACCAGTTGGCAGCTACTGTTAATTTAACCCTTTCCCTCCTCCCCAGTGGGCCGCCAACTGTTTCGAGGACAAAATCTACAACAGCCTTCACCACAACACCTCGGACAATCTGACCTCTGACCTCCTATCACTATCAGCCGATGACGATGAAGACAGAGTGTGTTTCACGACGTGGGAGGTGTACGCTCTGATCCTGCCCATCCTCATCGGCCTCACCTTCCTCCCTTCCTTCAAGATCCTGGCCTACTCCGCCTACATTGGCTCAGTCTTCCTTGTCCTCGCTGTCTCGGTGAGCATCTCTCTATAGCAACAACTATTGCTTGCTTTAGGGAGGAAAAGGTTTTTAGTGACTTTTCTCTCACTCTGTCCCCACATTTATGCTCAAAGTATACAAAGGGTTTTTGCCGTGAATTTTCCTAAGGATTTTGCACTGCACACTCAAGCTAATAATGAAGGTATTCTGGATAGTTGGTTGCCATTTCTTCCCTCCACTTGCTTGCTAAAAGTACGAAGGGTAAGCTACCTTATTTTCCATAGTCATGATTATTTGCACTGCACACTCCAGCTATAGTCAAGGTATTCAGGATTGTTGGTTAGCCTGTCCCTCCCTCCACTTGCTTGCTAAAAGTACGAAAGGTGTATCAAGATTACTTGTACTGCACACCCGGCTATAGTGAGGGTTCATCCATGAATGTCTCCCACAGGTGGTTTACGTGTTTGGGTTCATCAACCACCACGTGTTCTGTGCCGTCAGTCAGGGAGACATCCTCTACGTCCCTGCCAAGGGCACCGGCATAGCTCTCTGGTTTGGAGTCACCGCCTTCCTCTTCTGTGTACACAGTATGGTAGGTGGTCACATGACACTCACATGATCTGTGTGCATATGTTTGGTGGTCACATGACACACACATGATCTGTCAAATAAACATATTTCATTCATGTGAACGAAAGGAATGTTAAATACAAGTGGGTGTGGTCTTGGAATGAGAAAGATAAGGTTGACTGATGATGATTCCATATGTATTCCTGTCACATGACATGTCAGGTGATCCCGCTGGAGAGTGTGATGAAATATCCTCACAGAATGCAGTATGTGCTGGACGCAGCTCTCGTTATTGTGTTATCCGTCAACCTTCCCTTTGCCATATATGGCTATCTACTCTTTGGATCTGCCACCAAAGGTCAGAGTTTACTTCACGGTCTTACGTAGAAAGTATGGAGCATGGGGGGCTTTTGGACCGAATGGGAGGAAAACATGAGTGAGATTGTATGTACATACATACATACATCAGTGGGAAAGACGAAATTTCGGAGCAAAATGTGTCCCCTTCTTGAACAAAGTGGTGAAATTGTATTCCACCCCCTGTCCCTGTGTCGCAGGCTACGTGTTTGAGAACCTACCAGGAGGAGTGTTTTACGACTTGGTGCGAGTGTTTCTGTCAGTGGAGTTGACCCTCACCTTCCCCATCGTCTTCAAACCTGCCTCGGACGTGGCTGAGGAAATATGGTACAACTTCCTCATGGTACGTATGTAGCCCTACACAGACCACCATCAGTTTCATTGGAGGGGTGGATATCGTGTTTTGATGAAATATAGGGATTTCGTGTGACATGTTCTGTTGCCTTCTGCAGTGGATTACCCATTCCATTATTATAGTTAATCAAAGTATATTGTACTGTATGTTGGTGTGTGTCATTACAAATTTGTTGTAGTACAACTGCCAATCCTGAAAGTGTGGATTATGTGTGTTCACGTGTGTGTGTCTGTGTGATGATTGATTGTCTCCACAACAGGTATTTGTCCGTCTTGGAAGACTGAAATTTGTCGAACAACTCTACACCAGTTCTGTGAGTTTTCTTTAGTACACCACGGCACCAATTATTAATGTGTTGCTGATTTATTGTGATTTTCAACCGTACATTTACATACCTCTCATTCTCTCTTACCTTCACCCCGTACCTTAATTCCTCTCTCTCTCTCTCTCTCTCTCTGGCTCCAGTCCATGTACTACAGAGTAGGTCGCTACACGATGCTGTGTATTCTACGAACACTCCTAGTCATGGTCTCATGGAGTATAGCAGTCGGGATCCCTCGTTTCGAGCTCTGCCTCGCCCTCGTAGGCAGTCTAGCCACCACCATCTTGGCCTTCATCCTCCCTCCCCTCTTCCACCTCGCTCTCAAGTGGAGGGTTACCTCCATTGCCAGGAGAGTATTCCACATCTTGCTTCTGGTGGGAGGTATTGCTGCCAGCGGTGTAGCCACAGGGATTAACCTGTACACCGCCATTGAAGACAGAGGAAGTGTCGACTCATGCTCCTCCATCAGAGCACAATGCCAGGCGAAGGACACACCCACCGGACACTGCTTCACCTCATAGCTACATATACCCCGTGACCATTGAATACTGAGACTATTGTGACTCTGTGTGTGTGTTTCTGTAACTTCAATGCAAAAAATCATTGAAAATAACTAACAACGAATCAATGTGTTGAGTAAACATCTATTGAACTGAACTTAGTACAAGTACATCGTTCCCTTTGCGAATGTCAGTCCTAAGGCAAACTAGCTTATTTTAACGTGGGCAAGTACTAGTATAATGCGCCTGATTGCAGAATACAGACGGTACATAGCGTTGTTTGTGACAAACTTAGAGTCGGACACAGTGAACAATGCACCACTAATCCCAACTGAAAACTGATTGAAAAACAACACACATGGTTGGAACACACATTGAACATGGTACATACATAGTACAAAGAGTGAAAATCTAGAGAGAGTGACAGCATTGTGAGGGAACAACAGAGAAGTCGAAAGTGTGTGGTCTCAGAAGAAAGTGCTCCTTGCGACAGACCTTGTGACTATCTCTCAGTCTCTGGTGTCTCACTATCATGTCCCCATAGCTGTTGACCGGGAACACCAGGAAGGTGTTCTGGCAACCTCGCGACTGGCCCGGGTCCGTGTCGAATCTCACGTCGTGTTTCCACGTCACGTCGCCAAACGGAGACAGCCAGGTTGCCACGGCAATGTCCTCGTTCATGTACAGCTGTAGGTAGTGTGCAGAGCGGACAAGTCGCTGGACGAGAGTCTGCGAGATTACGTAACCCCCGCTGTGAGCGAACCTGATGAACTTGCTGCAGAGGAACCAGTCCGGTTCCCAGTGCTTGCCGGTCCAGCGTTGCTTGGCGTGGCGGTTGGCTTCAAAGTAACCCCAGTAGAGACTTGAGGTGGCTGGGTCATGGGGTTGGAGGCTGTGCAGAATCTCGTCCAGTCTCACATAGTACCTGGTGATATAGGGAGAGAGAGCTCTGACATACCTTCAACTGTACAGTGTGTGCTTGTACATACATACACACTCTATTATGTACAGTGAAAGCCTTTATAATAATGATAGGGACACCTCTGTATAAAGAACTTGTTTCGATCCCACCTTTGTGATAGTTGGAGCAAATCAATAGTTGGAGGTGTGCCTTATAAAACCACACTGCTCACCTTACACCCTTAATCTGTAGAAGTAGAGTTAAGCTACCAACGTTTTTTACGTTCCCCGAAGTGAGATGTCTATATACCTGTCTTTGGTCCTGAGTAAGAAGTGGTAGGAGACAGAGTGCTGCAGCCAGCCCAGCTGGTAGAGGAGATGCTCGCTCTCTGGGAGAGCTGCACTATCGGTGAACACTGCCATGTCACCATGGGCCCTGGACTCCCTCTCTAAATGCTGCATCCTGAGGAAAGAGGGGAGAGAGAGGAGAGGAATTTTACAGTATTTGGAGTCATGTTAGGCTTTTTCTGTTTACAAAGGTACAACATTCCCCTTCACTGACAATAATGGCAAGTGTCCCTCTATCTATACATGCAGCTGCACTGGAATTAGCAGGTTTCTCTGCTCTTTCATAATATTTCCCCAAACAAAAGAGAAAGGGCCAAATCCCTGAATATCCCATTCAGTCAGTAACCTTTACCCTGCAATGCACAGAATTCCCTCCATTACTCTCTTCCTTTCTGACCATTGTCCATTCTTAACAAGCCATATTACAATACCCAGAGGAACCCCTCTAATCCCAGACACCAATGGGAGAGTGACTCGTGCTAGTGAGGTATCCTTATTTCAGGGGTTAAATTGCACGCAAGAACTGTTCTTGGGAAAAGAAGAGTTTTCCTTATTAGAGAGATGTCCTCATTTCAGAAGTGTCAAAGGAGTTCCATGACTTTGGCGGGCAGCCTATATACATTGTTCAGACTGCTTGTGGCAACCACATCAGTATTATACAAGCCAACTTCACTTTGTAGTTGGTTTTGCATCGAAAGAAACTCAATTCCATCTGTCCAAGTTTGTACTAACGATTCACACTTACACACATTGGGAAAGTTCGCATCGAAAGAAACTCAATTCCATCTGTCCAAGTTTGTACTAACCATTCACACTTACATACATTGGGAAAGTTCGCGCAAGACTTACATAGTAGTATATAAGGTGTGAGAGATGCATTAAGTGGGTGTGGCTACCTGTCAGACGAGAGACCTCGAGCAGCGACAGTGAAAATGATGAGGGAAGCTCCACCCACACTGGGGGAGGAGGCCCACGTCTCCCTTGCCGCCCGACGCAGGTCAGAGTGGCTGGCCTGACTCTCGACCAATACCACCAGCTGGGGGGAGGGGGGCAACAAATAGAGTTAGCTCAACTATCATTCCTACTTGGGTATACATGCAAGCTCATGCTCTCTAAGTCGAAGGATAAAAACGCAACATATGCTTCCCTGCTTTAGCTAAACTCCCGTGCATAGCAGTTGCCATAATTTGTATGTGCAAACAGAGGATACTAGGGCCTTGTTCTTTCTCCTCCCAAAAGAAAATTGTGAGGCCTAACCTGAAAAGGAGGGTCCTTGTGGTCTCTGCCAGCTCCGTGGTACATGACTCTGAGTGACGTCGGATCTTTCACCATCTCCTGCAGCATCTTGGGCACTGGGCGGAGCTCCCTCGTAGAGGTCACGGAAGTCATCTCGAACTCTGTCTCCACCCAACCTGAGGATGCCAACCAATAATACTGAGTGAGGTATGGGAAGGCAAGCCCAGTTCAACAACACACATGACTATCTAGCAAAAGGTCAATGACATAACATTATACAACGACCTATGATGTAACGGTGACATCATGATGATGTAATTCACCAGATAGCCAGATGAGTAAGGCGATGGCAGCAGTGAGGAGAGAGAAGGTGAGGAAGACGAAGAGAAAATGGCGGAATTCCCGAGGTCGATCTACGAGGCGGGGACAGGAGAGGGGAGGGAGCATGTCTGGCTGGATGTCGTCCAGGTCATCAGGCGAAGGAGGGGGAGGAGAGAATCTGGATCGATCTTTCAGGAAATGGTCGCCTTCCTCATCTCCACTGTCACTCTGGGAATCCTGCTGTCCCCTCATCTCCTATACACAGATACTCCATTACTGCTGTACAAACAGTGTGCTCAAGTATTACTAGAGATCACTCGACACACTTTTTGGCATATTGAGGAAAAGTGCTCACGACTGGGGAACAGACTACAATGCACTCCCACCTAACATGGCTGGAGGTCACACCTCACATCTGGTGTATATGGAAGACACTCGCCAAATTGGGAAACTATGAATTGCGGTAATTGACTCGTGACACGTGGGTTGTCCGGATCGGATCAGGACAAAAACGCGGGGACAACACCAGACACAAAGCAGACTCTCTCGAACTCCGTTAAGGACTGTAGCTGTTAAGAACTCACTGTGAACGAGTGAAATTCGGTCACACACTAGACACCGGACTAGAAATTCTCGGCGAAAATCCACTGGTTTTTGCTGTTTTTGTGCAGGTGGGCTGTATATAGAATTATCGGACGATAGAGTTGCCGGGCAACCGAACGCGCGCGCCGCCATTCCAACCGGCCTTAGCCCGCGCCGCCGCCGTGATGTGCTGCGCGCGCGTACGTGGGGGATCGCTCGATATGGGTGTGGCGCGGCGACCATTTGCTAGAGTGTGTTTGAAGAGCCGCGGAGTAGAGTAGCGTCCATCTCGGTGTAACAGTGTGGACGAAATGACGTCCATTCAGCTATTAGGAGGGAAGCAGAAGTTGCTGACGATCCAAGTCGCCAATTTGGTCCATATTCAGTCCATCATCAACTGGGCTCGACTTCTGAAGAAGAGCGCAGGATTCACTGTGGCTCTACTTACCTCTCTCTGTGTCCTTGTCTACCTCTTCACGCACTTCCACGACCGAATCAACGGCTCTCCCAGTAATACAGGTGAGAAGAGAATTCTACACTTTAGCGAGAAATCCTTGCGAGGCTCGCCGCTACTGCGCTAGTAGTGCAGTGTGTGTGTCGCAGCGGCCGCGTGCGAACTCTGAGAGCGCAGTGAATCCTTGGAGGCGCAGTGAATGCTTGGGTGCTTGCAGCTTGGCACAGCTGTCGTGATGGTTGATCTTTACTCTGGTTGTGTTCATTCATCAATCCGAGTTTGTCTAGCTAATGGTCCTATTGACAGAATGGTTTCACTTTCCTCCCATGTTTGCTCTCTAATGCGGGACAGCACTGCAGTATACACTCAAACACAGTAGTACATGTGTGATTAGGATACATACATACATGTGTATGTACCAAAGTAGACCCCATTTATCAGTGATGTAACAGAGCTTCTCTCCCTTGGCAACTCGTATGTCAGCTAGCTCCATACATACAATAGCTCCAGAGATTCTTCACAAACCACAATTATGGCAAGCAAGTCCATGTAGAGAATAGCCTACATTCCTTCCTGGTGAATGGTGTATACAGCATCCTTAATGTTCATTAACTGAAAGCTAGCAAGGATGTTAGTGGGACCAAACATGCCTAATTGGGTAAATATGCTATGTAAGCGCATGTTTACTCAATGTCAGACCCATTCACTACCTCCATGTGACATGTGACCCGTACACCCACACCCACACACACTCCACACACATAGAGAGGTTTTCATACTTACAGCATTTCTTGCCTTGTAGTGTACACTTCAGAGGAGTTGTCTGTCCTGAACAGGTTTTAGGAGACTTTCGTGGAAATTGGTTCTCTGGTCTCCCAAATATTTAGACAGCAAGGCTGTGAACTAATGTGATTACCTGGCTATGTGTATTGTTTAACTACATAGTGCTCTGAGTGCCTGTCATAAACTACCTGGTTTGTTTGAGCAAGTTGTTGTGATAGAGACACACTTGTTTTACTTGTCATCATAAAAAACATCACAAAGCCTTAAAATCTCTACACTGCCTGGATTTTACTATGGTTGATCTAACCCTCCTCCCCCTCCTCCCCACTCACTCAGGTAGTGACTATGAGGTGTGGAGCCCTCCGGCCACCTGCCAGGACTGCTTCCTCAGTAAACCAATAGATCTCGGACTTCTAGAGCAACACCTACTCCTAGTTCTCATACACGCCAAGGCCGACGATCGGACCAGACGAGACGCCATCCGACAGACGTGGGTATCTGATTACAGGGGTCTACTCAACCCCCCTGTTCAGTACAGGTTTGTGATCGGAGCCCACAACCTGGGCCTGGAAGAGCTGAAGCGACTGCTGGCTGAGTCTGAGAGGTTTGGTGATGTGATTATCATGGACGACATCCCGGACTCTGAGGCTGATCTCACCAGGCGCACCCTCGACAGTTTCTCTCTCGTCTTGCAAACACTCAAGTTCAAGTACATTCTCAAGTGCGATGACGACACTTTTGTCGATCTTCCACGCATTGCAACGGAGCTGCAGCGTCGACAGTACCACGCCAGGTTCTACTGGGGCTTCATAATGGGTCATAACAAAGTCCACTCTTACGGGAGGTACAAAGAAGTGGGCTGGTCGCTGTGCGATTTTTACCTTCCCTACGCTGCCGGAGGAGGCTACGTGATTTCTCGCGATCTGGTTGAACTTCTTCACGAGAACAGAGACTCTTTGAAGAGATACAGCTGTGAAGATGTCTCGCTGGGGGCGTGGCTGGCACCCTACAACATAGAGCGACGGCACGACACTCGTTTCAACACGGAGTCGAGAAGTCGTGGGTGTAAGAGTGTGTTCATGGTGTCGCACAAGGTATCAGCCGGGGACATGTTCCAGATGTACGAGAGTCTCCAGCTGGACGGGACGCTGTGCGCAGCGAGCAGACAGTGGTACAGTTACGACGGCTTCATTTACAACTGGACTATTTCCACAGACCATTGCTGCAGACGAAAATATGGCGTCCCTTAGCCGAATTTTTGTGCATTGTTGTGTATGTGTATGTATTCGCCTTTCACACCAGCTCATCTTATCTCTCACTCTCCTCCCTTCTATGTGTTTTTAAAATGGGCGTGACCGTTTTGTATAGCGACACCACGTGCCCACTAGTTACGCGCATGCGCATGGCGGGAAGTACCCGAGCACGTCTTGTGATAAGCACGTGACTTGTTCAAAGGGGAAGTGAGTGTTTATTGCCGTTTGCAAACGAACGGGCGTGTGCACCGGTGTTCTCCATCCGGCTATCTAGCCAAAAGCCGTGTGGGAGAGAGATAGTACAGCTTGCTGTAGAGTTTGGCCATCCCGCAGTACGGCTGCACTGTCCGCTGAGTCTGGCCGTCTGCAGCAGAGCACCGGAAGACAGGCGGGACCTCTGCTGTTCTGCCGAGAGATCTGAGATAGATACTGTGAAAGGCTGTCGGACTTACCTCAGGTGAGCCTGGCGTGGAACGGACAAGGAGGAGGGAGATAAATGGTCGCTGTGCAGACTGGTCGGTCTCACCAACGACATTTTTTTGTTTGCAGACATCGCACGCACACAGAGACACAGCCACACCTGTGGAGGTAGCAGGAGACATAGTGTCTATCTGAGCCAGCAACCAGCTCAGTGTGCATTTCATATCAACCACCTGTGCTCCTCTCACCAACGTAGCTATGAGTCTGTAGTGGAACCCTTCTTACTGCAATGAGGACACCTAATAAGAACACCTTTTCTTCCCCCAAAAACAGTTTCCTGCTTAGCCACCAAAATAAGTAAGCCCACTAATACGGCCCTTCATCTGTCCCATTTGTGTCCAGATTATAGGGGCTCCACTTATGTCTAGTACAAGCCCAAAAGGAAGGCCGAACGGAGCGTAAAAGCTTCAAACATAAATGAGACAGGCAGGCAGACAGACAGACAGACAGACAGGCAGGCAGACAGACAGACAGACGTGCAGTATCATACAGTGTCAGTGTGAAATGTCATTTAACAGGCTGTCCCACGTACAGCTCCTCGAATCCATGAGACAGAGAATAAAGTGTCCCGTTGTTATTGAGATTACCAGGGGTTGAAAGAACTGTTCTTAGTGGTGAAAGAGAGGTGTCCTCATTTCAGTGGTGTCCTTAGAGAGGGGTTCCACTAGTGTGTGTACAACCCATGCAGGTGGCTGCTGAGTGCACCAGTGAGGGGATGGAGGCTGAGGTTCTATTTGAGGCTGAGGTTCTGTTTGAGTACGAGAAGAGCCAGGATGATGAGTTGGATCTGGAGGTCGGAGAGGTCATCTATAATGTAAAAAAGGTAACAGACAGAGGGAGGGAGGGTCTTTTGTGACTTCTGTGTACTAGTAAGACCATATATGGGAACCCAACTCCTACTCTAATGCTAACTGGGCTGTTCTACATGGCTTCTGCCTCTCACTAGCTTGTTCTAGAGCAAAATGTCGTGTACCTGGCAAGCTGGTAGCAAGCCAGCATGGGTTGTAGTGTGTCACATGGTTATTTCAACCAGCTTGACATTCTGCATACAGTGGAACTCCTCTAATCAGGATATCAATATGTTTGAAGAAAGTGTCCATCTTAGTGAGGTGTCCTCATTGCAAGGATTAAGCGATACTTTTTCTTGGGGAAAGAAAAGGTGTCCTTATTAAAGTGGTGCCCTCATTTTAGAGGTGTCCTTAGAGAGGAGTTCCACAGTGTTTGAAGTTCAAGTGTCTAGAGTTTGTGAAGGCAGCAAAAGTGTCTCTGGCTCTCAGTGTGTACATATTAGGTCAGTGTTTGTTGAGCTGAACCAGCCACATGCAGCGGTGCAGCCTCTCATACCACAGCAGGTTGACTTAACTTTTACACTGTGCCCCTCTGTTGTGATTTGCACATGCCTCTGCTCCTAAGTCAACACCCTGGATCTACAGTCTCGTGTTTCCCTGTAAAGGCGAGCATACGTAGTCGTCTCTATGCAGGATTTTCTCCACTATACCGTAATTATATATGCGGAATCGAAATTATGTGACTTAAACCGACAGAACGGGATCCTGAAGAGCTACAAAATGACTCCAAGCGTTGCAAAAAGTGCTGAAATTTTCTTCTCACGTTCTAATACTCTCTCTGTCTGTGCAGGTAGATGATGGCTGGTGTGAGGGCACAAAGTTGAACGGAAAGATAGGAATGTTTCCAGACAACTTTGTCAAGTTACGGCCAGTCACTACTCCTGCTGCTGCTGTCAGTAAACCAGCCACCAAGGCCCCGCCCCCTGACCCAGCTCCCAGTCAACCTCCGATCATTGCCAGATCAGCAGGTCCTCTCTCTCCCTCTCCCCCCTATCTCAATTACCAAGAAATTAAAACAACCTCTGAAAAAGGACACTTGGAATTACACCTTCGAACAACAGACACCTTTGAATAAAGGATGCTCTCCATGCCCCAAGATGTCCCTTATTCAGAGGTTTCAGGGTACCTGATGTGTGACACTTGTCTGTCTTTTACAAGCAAGCTTACATTACTGCCCCCACCCCCTCTCTCCCTGTTCCTGTGTGCAGGTCAGGTGAACAAGACCAGAAGAGCTAAAGTGTCATTCAGCTATGCTGCTGAGAATACTGACGAACTGTCACTAATGCCTGGCCAGGTGAGCCGCAACCTTTGGCCAATCAGAGAAACGTTGATCCATTATTGTGTGTATGTGCATGCTACAACATGTAACTACCATACGTATATATGTACCTTTCATAAGCCAAATGTTGGTATCCTCTGTGAACAGTCAGTGATTGTGAAAATTAGGGGGTCTTCCCTATACATTCCTGTGACATCAGTAGCATAATGGTGTGGGGACCTTCACTACAGTGGGCAGTGGTTGGAATGCAAATGCACCCCACAAACCATTTAATTAGCATCTGAAGATAAACACCAGCCAAACCTGCACTGGTTGAGTACCACAGCAGCTGACCATTCTTAGCTCTGAGCAGAGTTGCCTCCACTACAGACACACGTTGAAGACAGAGTTGGTCCGATGTGTACAATTTAGACCACCCCAGCGATGAACTGAGCTACACTCTGCCACTGTCTCCAGATGGTTCACATACTAGGGGAGGAGGAGGATGGCTGGTGGAGAGGGAAACTAGGGGATAAAGTCGGTCTCTTCCCCTCGAACTTTGTGGAGGTCATCAATGAGAGCTCCCGCGCCCTGACGTCGCCCCCTTAGCGACACCCCGTGAATATAGTCCCAGATCAGGGTCTCAGTATCCAGCTGCAGAGAGAGAGTGAGTCCTTCCCCTCCTGACTTGACACCCCTGAAAGAGACGCAGTATGAGATTTTTATCCACAAAAGAAATATCCAGTGTTTCTATTCTCTTGGTTTTTGTCTATTGTGTGGTCTGCTTCACATTATGACATTACGTGTATTTGTTATTGGCGAGTGAAGCAAGCCCACGACCTCATATGGTGTACTTGAATGTGAATTTTCTATAGCCCTACTGTATGATGTATGTATGTATGTGTGTATGTATTGGTGATATGTATGTACGGGCATATGACTTCCAAATATCATACACAATTTTTAATAAAATAACACGTGAAATGCATCGAAAAAATCTAACAGCTTGCCTCCCAGCGCTCCCAAAAGTTACATTTCTTCTAAGAACATTACTCTCCTTTAATCGCTCACCAAGGTCCTCCGCCAGGGGTGAGAGTAGATGAGGGTACCGAAGTTAACCTCTCGATTGTTCAAGTTAAAAAGCCGGAGCACGTGTCCCGCCACCGGCCATAAGGAAGATGAGCCACCACGGTCAGACCTGAGCTGAAGAAAAACTGATTCTTCCTCCAAAGAACCAACAGATGTGTAGATTAAAATGTCAATATTCACTCTGAAAATGCCTGGAACCATGTCACTATTTCAACATATAGTCCCTCTTCCAAAAAGTGGAGGAGAGTTAATTACTTCTTTCTCTTTCCACGCAAGCAAAAGCCCCCCGCAAGGCCCCCCTCCACAGGAGCAACCAGTGGAGAGGGCAAAGGATTAATTTTCAGTACACGTCAGAACAAGGAAGAGATGAGCTGATATAAATGTAAGTGGTCTGTAGCAGTGGTTATACTGCCAGTGTGCTGTCTCTTGATCTGGTTAGGTTGGAGATTGTCTTGAGGTAAGTTAACAAAAGAACATGATGGGCTGGTGGAAGGTATATACATGTGCTCTCTTCGTCGTGTGTCTCGATCTTTAATGTTTAGTGGGGAAATTATGTATGTTCATCAGAGACTGAGAGACGGGCAGGGCTGTGTACATACATAGTACTAGGTCAGTGGACATACATTTGTTACGTGTGCTGTTTTGTGGGGAAGTTGAGCGCCCGCAAAAAGTTTAGTAAACTCGATAGGATTTCCGCCGTAAACCATTACTATTCTTTAGAGATTATATTTCCCCCCCCCCCCCCCCCCTCTCTTCAAACATCAGGTGAAGTGGGCGAGGGGTAGGGGAGTGTGGTTCCATGACAACTTTGTAGAGCTGCTGCCACGTTGAGAAAGCTTCCAGCCCTGAACCCCCCCATGCCAAGGAAAGTTTGTCTTGTTGGTATCATGACCTGCCTTCTCCCTCCATCTTTGTCTCTCACTTCTCCTAAACTGCAGAGCCTCGTAGCCCACACCACCCCCACCAGCACAGGACACCCCACAGAACACCCACCAGGTACGTACCAATCACAGGTTCTCAAAGACCCGAGTAAGGGGGGACATCACAGAATCTTTCCCTTTGTTCAAAGGTTTCACTATTGGTAGATAAACCTACGTATGAATAGTAGACTGTTATTGCAAAACACACCTCTGCAAACTTGGGTGGTTTTTTCATTACTGCGTCCTCCACACACACACAGAACAAACCGGCCAGATTTTGGAGCACCCTGACCCGAGCCACTGGACAGCTCCAGCAGTAAAGGAAAAGACTAACAAGACTGGTGGTTGTCGAGACCTCGTCTCGTTCCAACCTTCACCCAGGTTAGCCACACCCACTACAAGCCACGCCCCCTGAACCATAGTGTGTGTTTAGAGCACCGTTGCTAAATACAGAAATTGTGAACAGGACCGGGTAGGCTTGCTTCGCGTCCCAATAAATGTGTGGGTAGTAGGACCGAGGGTGAACAGGGCACGTTGTCGTGAGTGCAGGAGGATGGGAGTTGGCCACAAGTCAAGGAGGAGGCAACGGGGCGGGGGACGAGGCTCCTTGGCAGAGGGAGATCAAACAGAGGAAGAAGAAGGACAGTCCAAACTACCACCCAGCGCCAGCACGCCACACCCCCCTCCTGCTACCGTGGCACGGAAAGCTGAGGAAAACCGGCTCCCACCTCGAATGGCTAGCAAACCTTCTTTTGGGTGAGTGCTGTGGAAGCTGTTCTTCTGTTGTCCGATCTGATTACAAAATCCCATGTTTGTCATCTCCCCTCTCTCTCCCCTCTCCTGCAGCAGCGAAACCGAAGCCACCACCAGCTAAAACCTCCAGTAAAGATATAGCCAAGGTGATTATAAAATACCCATCTCTCTCCCAACCACTAGCACCAAACTGCTACATATACTGAAAATATAAGGGGGAAAAGTCAGACCACAGCTTTGCCCCACTGTATATACTAAAGCTTGCAAATTTGGCACAATTCCAACATACCAGCAAACACAATACCTTGAAAGTAGCCACTATATATGTGGTGTACATTTCTATCTCCATCCTCCCTCTTCTCCCTAATTCAGACCAAAACCACCTTCCGGCAAAGCCACCCTTTGAAGCCACACCCCCTCCCGAGGAAAGCGAGAACACGCCCCCCAAGTCCTCGAAGAGAGTGGATAGAGGCTCTGGATAAACTGAGGTCAGAGTTCAATGAGTTCAAGACCCAGAATCAGGAAGGAAGCTGCGGAGAGGAAGATAAAGACGATTGTCAGATGATTTGGACCAGGAGCGGAAGGAACAATTGCCCTCTCTCAGGATGACATAGACAGACTCAAGAAAGAGAAACTCTAGTATCGTCTTCGCGTTCTAATGTCTCTTCCATTTTTCAAATTGACACCACACACCAACAACAGAGTCTGTTTATCGGTGTTTGGTCACCATGGTTACGGTATTATACAGTTGTGCCGAATTTATTGGTGTAATTAAGTGTGTGTGAAATGATAGTATGTGCCATTCTTTCCTTTTTTATGTTCTTTAGAACATTTTATAATGAGGTGTTTATGACTCGCTGTAACGTTGACCTACGAGAGAAAAGAAGGTGTGGTCTTGATGAATCAACAACAATCCACTGAAAGCATTAAACTTCCACCTGTAGGGGGGTGGGTGGGGCATTATGTCATGTGCGGGAACCAATCGAGTGATGATCAAAAAACTTTGCTTAATGAAAAGGATTGCGGTTGACCAATGAAACGCGGTGTGTTAACATTCATCTCATGAGCATGCCAGAGCATAGGTTTGCCAGTATTAATAGGGATCCAGAATAAACCCCCGTATCCACTTGCAACCGAAATCACCAGACTCAATTGACGGTTAAAGCTTTAATTCTCCAGTGTTACATTTGGTCATGTGACGCAATAACTTTTACATTCTTTGTTCAACATCCCCATGGCCTCCAGCCTAGGTGGACCAATTCAAGTTGTAGGTCCGATTTTAAGGTCGCGCGCTACCACCCCGGCGACACCCTTAAGTCCAGTCCAATTCGCCTGACCAATACATGTAGAGATCATCAGCAGGTGTTTTATTATAGTGACAGCATTGTACCGCTGCATGTGGCATGCTCTACCAATTGCTATTGTCTAGGGGTTATGACTAGCAAGTTGCAGCACGTTTTTTGTTATAATATGTTGCTGGCGCTCCAACTTTCAATAACGGCATGTGCATAGTATACACATGTCAACACAAGGTAAGAGGTAGAAAGGCAAAGCAAAACCAAAGCCAGTCAGGACTATGTTTCACGGGTGAGCGATACGCAGTTTTGCGTGCATGCATGAGGCTCGTCGCACGTCCCCCTCCACATACTCGTCTACAGTGCGCGTGGCAGTTTGGAGACAGTTGGACATTGAGGGAGGCTCGCACGTCCCCTCAACATACTGCTCTAGGGATGCGCGTGCGCTGTGAGCATGCACGCAAAAATGAGTCATGGGCCTCAACATTCCCCAAAAAACGGTGATGAAACTTGGCTAGTGAGTATCGACAATAGGACTAGATAATCCGAGGAAGACTCTTGGGCATCAAGGAAAATATCGAATGGCTATGCTACCCTGTGGTGGATTGTCAAACCCCACCACAAGAGGGTGGCATTGCTACCAGAGAGGCTACCAGAGCAAACAGCTGTTATTGGTAGGGGTTGTAGGCGAGGGTAATGTGTGTGACGACGTGACATGTGCACGTTGCAGCACATGAGTAATAAAGAAACACATATGCAAGTACAGTACGTATGGTAGGATAATGTAGGTGAGGTAGAATGTGATGCATGTACTTATGCACCACGTATGTATGCACTGTGCCGAGTACTTACTGGAGATGACGCATGTCAGGTGTTGGCAAAGCTAACGCACAGGACAGTTCCAGCGTCCTATGCAATGGTAACGATGGAAATAATCGATATTGTCCAGGGCCCTTTGACCTCTGTAGTCTTCCCTGAGACCATGATGCTACCCCCAATTCTGCAAGTGGACATAGTCCGGAGCACTGAGTATGAGAGGTATGGCTCCTCCCTCTCAACCTGTAGATCAAAACCGACAGTTTTTACACTGGCGCCAGAGAAATTAGTGAAAGCTTAAGAGGTTAACACTTGAATGCACTGACATGACGAAAAGTAGTGGGCGCGGGGTTTGATTTACTGCTAGATAGCACACGACACATCCCACTTCTTCTTGTTTCAACTATTTTTGGTGGCCTATGTAAGGATTTGTCCACTTAACGTATGCACGAGTACAGTAAAAAGTTGGAATGTGCAGGCGCAAACAAAACGTGGGGGCAGAGATCAGGAGTGAGGCACGTTAGTGGCATTGTTCACACGCAAAGGGGGGGTTCTTTGTAAATGACAGGCCAACGCAAGCTGTATCCTGAGTACTTGACTAGCTATCTTGATGCAGAAGGCCAATGCGAGACAACCATTGACATGTACGTCACGAGCTTTCATGTCATGACGCCTGCATGCTTGGTCGAAGATGACAGATTCCATTGCAGACGGCTGATATCCTCGAGAGACGTCTTCAATGTGGGGTTTGTCTCCTTCTGGGACAGGCCATCACCCACTGAGCCGTGGAGACACCCAGTCGCCGACACAACTGCATGTGGTCCCCGGCCAACAAGCCTGGGTCTACTGGATCAGACATGAGAGCCCTTACACTAATCATCAGTTAGGCAGATAATTCTGCGTGCAGAACAGGAAACACTCATAACAAACGAATCATCAGGAC